TATAAAATACAGTTTTCTTATTATATTTACAAATACTGTTAAATAAAAGTATAAAAATTATTTTTGACCTTAAATATTCAAATATTATAGTAATTTATAAAACAGAATAAAATTAGGAGTATCGCAAAAATCAAATCAGGAAAAGAATGAAAACATCAAAAAAAGATGCCAAGAGTTGAAACATGCCTCTTTGGTGCCTTCTACGCCCAACACTCACCTCTAGCCAATGTCAAGTGCCTGGCACCACTGTCAGCACCTCTGCCTCGCATGCCCTAATGCCTTGCTCAGCACTCTAATGTAGTCTCTACTCAGCCAGCCCTCTCTCAGCGCCCTTTGTTTGCCCAACTTCTGCCAGTGACTCAGTGCCTTGCTAAGCACCCTAGCACATTCCTAGCTCAGTGCCTCCTCTCAGCACCTTTGCCAGCGCCTTAGGCCACTCTCTCACACCAACACCTCACTCAGCGCTCCAATACCACTTGGTGCCTCTCTCTCAGCACCTCTGCCAGCACCTCCGGGCCAGTCTTCATGGTCAACACTTTGCAGCACAACATCCAGCAGATGAACACTGCATTCCAGTGGAGCGGCACATCTGGATGCTGTGACACCTTGCTCTGATCAATCCTGCTCCAGTCGCCAGATCTTCCTCACGGGCTTGGGCTGCTGCTGCTGCTTGACACATTTGCATGCGACATGCATCACTGCACCTTCCTCTCCCGCCCCATGCAGCTTGGCCGCTTCCCATTCACCTGGAGCAAACATTAGCGTGATTATTCGCTAACACGTGGTTAAAGAAATAACCCCTTTACAGTTACCCCCCATCAGACGGCTGTGATTAGCTAGATCTGGCAGCCCAGAAAGTTTGGCAACTCCTCCTTATTTTGATAGATTAACTAATAACCTTTATTAAGCCAAGAACCAATAAGGGATATATTATATTTTAAGTAGCCTGGAGGTGCTGGTTCCCCTTGGCTCAGAAGGGGTTGTTAGTCAATAGTCAATGAGGACATTGACATTTCTAAAGGGGGGGTGAGTGTAGCGCATGTGATCATGGGATGAGATTTGGATATATTATCACCGTAGATCCTTGGAACTTTAGGGGATAAATAGGGATAAAATAACCATTAAGGGCTCTCTCATCAAGCAATTGCCCCTTTTTCAGTTAGCTTAAGGGGAGAGAAATAAAGTGCGCTATAGATGGAGCTTAGTCTGGATGGCTTGTTTTTGCCCAAACCTCACCATGATTGATAATCTCACTTTTTCTTAATTCATTGTAAATTGCTTAAGCTTCTTCTTGTGTTCTCTTCTGTAAAGGATAATGAGTTAGTTGAGTGGTTGCAAGCATATAATTTAATTTATTTATATGTCTTATGAATAGAAATATAGAAGTAATATAATTAATTAAACGTTGATTGTATTGCACATATAGTCAATGAGGACATTAACATCTTAGAAAAGGGGGGTGAGTATTGTGCATCTAGGGATGAGATTTGGACATATTATTATTATAGATCTTTGAAACCTTAGGAGATAAATGGGGATAAAATAACCATTAAGGGGAGAAATAAAATGTGTTACACTATTGAGCACAAATGCTTTGTAAATAAAATTTTATTACATCTTTATAAGATGCTACCATCCACAAACCAGTCACACAGAGAGATAGTTGTTCTTTCCTATTCTCTCTTACCACCTCTTCAATTTGTTTTTAGAAATATATCATTGAAATTTTTTTGTCTTCCCTCTCAAAGCAAGCAATGTAGTCTTAGCAACATAGGTTCTAGTGTCACCTTAGAGCCACCTAGAAGAGGAGGTTAAGGGGCTGTGCAAGCCCATTACCACTAAGAACATAGTGAACTGAACACAAGCCCCCTCAATAAGTTGCCCTTTTGACCATCTTTAATAGGGTAGGCAGAAACTAGTTAAGTGATATTGGACACATTTTTATCGTATTAGTACAATTCTGGAGAACTTATTTGTGCCATATAAGCAATAATACAAGTGCTCTAGAATTATATAAACCACATCAGCCACATAGGTATTGCAGTAAAATTCTTGACAATAAATAATCTGGATCCAACAGTCAACAATGATATAACCCGCCCATTAATAGTGCTTCTCAATAGCTAAAACAGTTTATAATTAACATGTATATAACACAACTATAAAATGATAATATTCTGAGATACCAACTTCCTCATTTAGCAGTTTTTCATTAAAATTTCTTATTTTGAGGAGCTAATAATATTATATGTGAGTGCATAAATATAAATATAAATATCGTTTATTTAAAATATATATTTATATAGATAATTTTTAAGAACATTTTCATATTAATTAGAACTTCAAAAGGACAAGCAGGCGGGAACTCAAAGTTCTAAGGCGAACGAGTAGCAGCCGCCTTGTCACTCACCTGTGAAGGCTTCTCCATCACGCGGCTCTTGACTGCATCCAGGCGCTGTGATCCAGCCGGGCGCCCGCCCCTCGCATACCTATAGATCCAGGTAATGGTCGCCACCAAAGCGATGAATGCCACCGCCGCCCCCGTCGCCAGGATCGCCAGCGGCACCAGGATAGGGCTAAAAAAGAGGAGGATCGGCGAGACGAGCAAGAGTACCACGGCGCCGCCCCCCAGCGCCATCGCTCCCACTGCCAGGATCGCCAGGATGCCAAGAACGCGGCGCGCAGAGGATCGCTGCTTGAGATGCTGGAGCGTGATGCCGGAATCATTGGATTTGGACTTGACGAGATCGCCCATGGCGATCGAAGAGCTTGTGATTGATGGACTGGAGATGGAGAATTGGAGCTGTGTGGGAAAGACGAGGAGATCCATTGGTTTTTTATTTGGATTTGGGGCTGGCATGGGCGTAGCACCTGGCAGCCTGTGGCTCACACGGAGGATTGCATGCACCAAAGGTAAAATCTTTGTTTCTAACAACCGGATTTTCCGATCCAGGGCAGGAATTTCTTTCTACCTTTTCTCCAAGCGATCTTCTTAAGCTCAAAGAATTTCCTATTTTCTTCTCGAAGTTCTTTCGTAAAAATTTATTTGTCTGCAAACTTTGCTTCACCAGTTTTATTCATTCGAGTCATCAGAAGAAGAAAAATAAAAAAGAGAGAAACGTTCTTCTGTCAATAGAGACATCGCGAGCCTGGAAATCGATCTTACTGTAAAACTTGTCTTGGGCGAGAGGAAGCCACCAGAGAGCCTAACGTCGTAATGAGCAACGCGCACAGGTTCGTTCCTTCGTTCGCTTCCTTGATTTGTTTTCCCTTTCGTCGTCACTCTTTCTATAGCTTCTCGCAAACAGCATTCGTGTACTCGGTTGTGCCAGCGTTGCCTCCCAGATCGCCCGTCAGGTACTTCCCTTCCTCTATTGTCTTTAGCACAGCGTTTTGGATCTTCTCCGCTTGCTCATTCATGTTGAGGTGCCTGAGCATCATAACTGCGCTCAAGAGCAATGCCGTTGGGTTTGCCTTGTTCTGCGAAAAGGAAAAACGTTTTTTTTTTTGGCATCAGTGACAGCTCCGAGAAACAAACGAAATTTGATACCTTTCCAGCGATGTCGGGTGCCGTTCCATGGACAGCTTCCATCAGAGCAAGCCCGTTGTCTCCAATGTTGCCACTGGTCGGTCACACAGAGCAGTGATTCTTTCGCGACCCAATCGAGAGTACTTACCTCGGTGTCAATCCAAGGCCGCCTATGAGACCAGCGCAGAGATCACTGATGATATCTCCATACAAGTTTGGCATCACCAACACGTCAAACAAGGCAGGATTTTTTACGAGCTGCAAGAAACAAGCAGGATCAGAGAGACTGAACGACAAAAAGTCTGATTTTGAAGCTTACCATCATGCAGCAATTGTCGATAATCACTTCCTCGTAAACGATATCGGGATACTGCTCCGCAACCTCTCGACAGCACTACAGCAGCGGCAAATCAGTTTCCACGCGAAAGAAGAAACAAAGACTATAACTTACCTGTAGAAACAATCCATCCGTTTTCTTCATGATGTTGGCTTTGTGAATCGCGGACACACGCTTTCTACCGTTGGTTTTGGCGTAGTGGAACGCATACTCCGCGACACGCATACTAGCTTGGCGAGTGATAATCTTAAGGCTCTCCACAACACCTTTCACCACCTGCAAAAGGAACCAACAGCCAAGATCGAAACTCGAAAACCAGCAAGCTTTGCTTACTTGATGTTCCAATCCACTGTACTCGCCCTCGGTGTTCTCCCGGATGGTAACGAGATCGACGTTGTCATATCGCGTCTTGTAGCCGGGGATGCTGAGACACGGTCTCACGTTGGCGTAGAGGCCGAGCTCTTTGCGCAGCGTCAAGTTGAGAGACTTGTGGCCTTTCCCAATGGGAGTGGCCATCGGGCCCTTGAGACCAATTCCATACTTTCGTACAGACTCCATGCTGTCGTACGTGACAAAGCTTCCCGTCTTGGGATCCAGTGTTGTCCCAACATAGTGTTCTTCCCATTCTATGGGAACGCCCGCAGCCTTGAAAATCTACACATGAAGAAACTATCGAAGTGAGAAAGACTGTTCTCTTAGCACTGTGTTGCGCGAATTGAGAAGAAAAAAGCAGCCAAAGGAGGGCAAACACAAAGAACAATGGAAAGTTTTTCTCAAATGAAAGAAGAACGAAAAGATCCAAGCTCTACACTCGATACGATGCGGAGGAATGCGATCGATCAGCCACTAGCTAAAATCCTTGATAAGAATGCGATCGAGATTACCTGCTTGACCGAGGCGGCGATCTCGGGGCCAATTCCATCGCCGGGAAACAAAGTCGCTGTGATCGATCCACCGCTGCCAGACCTAGTGCTGTAGTTGAAGGAGGATCCGCGCGTGGCGCTGGTGGAGAAGTGCCTTTTGGTGGAATCGGAGGCCAATCGCGCCCATCGCCGCATCCTTCCTTTCCCTCTCTTCTCTTCACCCTAAGGGCTTGATCCCTGTTTTAGGGTTCTTCGCTCGGGATGGAAATTTTTGAAGAGAAGAAAAATGCGCTTGGATCACAAAGGATGCCTCGAAGCGAGCACGACGCTGGAGCTATGTCGCGATCTGGCGCGATGTGTTCTTGCCTCATCGGGCCTGGAATCTCGCCAGTGCGTATTCTCGCAACGGTGATCTGGAAGGCGCCAAGGCGGTGTTTGATGCGATGCCCGGTGGGATCTTGTGCCCTGGACGACGATGCTCGGCGCCTATTCCCAGATCGTGGACGCTGGTAGCGCCAGGGCGATCTTCGATCAGATGGAAGAGCTCGGTCTCTTTTCTTGGAACTCGATGCTAGCGGCGTATTTCGAGGGCGGTAATCTTGCAGACGCGAAGCTCCTGTTCAAGAATGGAGCATCGTTTCTTGGACGATCATGCTCAGTGTCTACTCCCAGCACGGAACTTGCAGACGCGATGCTGGTGAGATTATCACTTGGCCGGGAGGGGCTCTTGCAAGAAGCCGAGAATCTCTTCCAGGGAATGAAGCAAAGAGGACTGGGATCTTCCTTTTGCGAGGTACGCATTTCTCTCTTTTTAGTTTTCTTCTTGCATGGCGACTGGACTTGCTTGTTGCTAAGATCGAGTTGCTAAGATCGATGCGTTGCTAATTTATTTTTTGTTTTGCAGGACGATTTGTCGATGGTGGAGGAAAGGTTTTGGATTAAAAAGTTCCGGACAGCGCAGGAACTAATATGGTAAGCTCATTGGATTTAAAAACGTCTAGCTAGCCAAGCAAGCGCGTCAAAAGTTTCAAGGTTTCCAAGAGCTGGCAATCAGGTTATGATAAGCTCGGGCAAAGAAGTCAAGGAATTAAAAAGTTCAGCATGGTTTCCAAGGCAGAAACGTTTGATCCGAGGTCCAAGCAACGAGCACGGTTTTCTTCACTTTCGTGGACTATGGAAGAACGTAAAAATAAGTTTCCAGCAACTTGATCATCCCGAAGATCCAAAAGAACAATGGAGGCTCTCGACAAGTCAAGCGATTTGGAACAGAGAACTTGATGGATCGAATCCAACCAGGAACCGGGAACCAGGACTCGGGGGAAAATCTTTTGGATTTATACAGGCTCTCAGAATGGTTTCCAAGAGGTGGCAAACACAGTGGGCTGCTCCTTCCAAGTGAGAAAGAGGCCAACGTCGGTGTTGGTGTATCCCCAGCCTTCCTTGTACCGCTTGAGCAGCGCCCGAGCGTCATCAGCTACATCGTCACTGAACTTTGCGAGCGCGAAGCCGGCTCTCCGCATCCTCATCACCCACTGGCTACTCTTTTCCTGCCTCTCTGAGATGCTCGCTTCGTCACAGGCTAACAGGTTGACGATCTTCCGTGACACAATTCTCTCCAGCATCAGCCTCTCGTTGCTCGTTCTCGGGAAACTCTCCTCCACAGACTCGAAGAAGAGGGAATAGTAGCGGACTGCTTCCACGAATCGGCTCATGAAGTCTCCTCGAGATATGAGGTCGGCTTCGTCGTCTGCGATGATCACGAGCTTGGGATTCAGGCTCCGGAAGGTGTTGAGGACTAGATCTCGTGGAGAAGCAGCGGAAGACGAGGAAGAAGGAGGCGGCCTCTCGGACACATTGTGTAGCGAGTGAATACAGTTGACAATGAGCGCTTCTCCGGCTCGAGGCTGGATGGTAGCGACGTCGAGCAGCTCGAGCTCCGGCTGCTGGAGGAGCCGAAACTCGAACGGGACTCCCATGAGCCTTGCAAACTTTCGGAGGCGAGCACCGACCTCGGTCATGACTTTGACGACCGCCTCCTCGGAGCTTACCAGAATGCTCGTCAGTCTCAGGTGTGGAGCTCCGTCCGAGCGGGTGGCAAGAGCTTCCAGCAAAGTCGGCCACTGGGTACACATGGTGCTGCTCACGTCCAGGATGTGGACGCGAAACTCGCCTTCCACGGCTTCCATAAGAGCTCCGTTGGCCGCGACGTGACCGAAAGTTGTCCAGGGGCTCATCTCTTGGAACTTGAGCATCATCTTGCGCATTGGATCGAAGAGGCACTGTCTCTCCGCCGCGGAGCACAGCACTCGGTGTTGGCGGGAGCCCGTCCCGGTGATCCGGCAGAAGAGTCCCTGGAGGAAGCACGATGCTAGCCGCTGGTCGAAGTCCCCGTATGGAGAAGCAAGTTCGTTGAGCATCCACATGAAATGCTGGACTCGAGCAGCGTCTTTCTGGACGACTGCTGCTGCGCACTCGATCAACAGACTTGCTGCCCAGCGGCCGTCGCCTCGCTGCAACGCGGGGAGCTGTGTGAGCTCGATCCTGTCACTCTGATCCATCTGAGGTGAGGACGTTCTTTGTGTTGTTGGTGCTGATGGGCTTTCTTCTCGGAGATACAGCGGTGGCTTGCCGGACGAGACCAAATGCTTCCTGGACGGATCTCCGGAGATGTGTTCGTCTGCCAAGCCATAAGCCAGACTTGTTGTGGGAGGCATGGAGGACTGCTCGGGAGACTGGTGATCACTCAATCCTTTTTCCATGCACAGGAGCTAAATCCTCTGAGACGACCATAGAACCGCTGCTTCTGCGATGAGCCAAGGTATGCATTTAAACATTCCAAGTTGGTCTTTGCTTTTCTAGACTTGCTTTCAATCCTTGTCTGCAGAATCAAGCAAAGCTTTAGAGCTAGAGAAGCGAGAAAGCAACAAGCTGTAACGCACCTGTGAGTCTTGTCAAATCTCTTTTGTTCCACGTCCTTGCAGCTCTTTGGAGAGACCGAGCGACGAATTAGAAGACGAGAGAGTGTTCTAGCGTAAGAAGCAACCAAACAAGCCGGACCAAAGCAGAGGTAGAGTAGACCTGGCTGTACCGCGTACCAGGTGGTCTTCAGCTTTCTGGTATTGGGAGCCTCACTTCGCAAAAAGCTCATTGAAGAAGGCGCCACTTTGGAGGACCAGTGGAGGAGAGCTGCTAAAACTCACGAGACCAAGAAAGCAAAACTGCAAAACAGAGGTATTTTTCTAAACAAGCTTGGGTCACATTGTTGTCAGTCAGGCCTAAGCATCGCCATTTTTTTTCTCTCTTGGCAGTGGCTCACGGGGCCGCAGGAATTTTCCCCAGTGCCTTGCGGGTATAATCATAATCATTCTCTGCTGCAACAAGCTGGGAAATCTGGTCGAGATTTCACGTGACTCTATACGGGTGGAAGCTAGCGGGTATGTTTATATTGTCTCGGGACCATATATATCAGCGCAGTGCAGTATATCTACAATAGATCTCGTGAGCCAGATGTTTACAGGTACTAGTAACTTAATCTTCTCTCCGTTTCTTTAATGCTTTTGGTCCGTTGTCTCAGGGGTCGAGCGAGGGAAAAAAACTAATGAAACTTAGGAAAGCAACGGTGGATGCAAACAAAGGCAGCCTGCCTGTACTGGTTTTCTGATGAGCCCGAAAATGCTCTGGTACGTCTCTGCCCCGGTTTTTGTAAGTCAAAGATTCCGGCTTCTTCTAAGCTTATGTGTTTCAATCATGCTGTGTGGGTTTCTCAGGCTTCATTGAGCTTTGCTTTCGGCTCATCATTTCTATCAATCACTCGACGTTTCATGCTCCATCCAGTTCGTCCACCGCTACAAACAAAGGTATTTAAGTGGTCGCTTTCGATGATTGTCAAAGCTCGTCGCTCCAAACAAAACAAAAAATGTCGAGAACTCTGATCATGTCAACGTCCTTCTCGATCCGACTGCTTCGTTGTGTGGCGTGTTAGAAATCAACAATCTTGTCTACAAAGTAACGCCAGCACTTGACGACTTGACGCCATGCTAGAATGTAAGTCTCATTTCTCTTCTCTTCTAAATGTTTTTTCCCTTTCTCGCAGTCTTGTGCTGGATGGATTGGTGAAATTCACTTTAGCGACCTCGTTGGTGGGTATGGATTCATTCTCAAAAAAGTTTTAACTTTTTGCGAGCAAGCGCTTGAGGGCGGTCGATAAGTCATTGATCAAACAACAGTGATAAAGAGCACTTCAATCTGACCGATTGATCTCCTCTCAGTCATTGTTACGTGACGATTCAAAAGCTTTTAGAATTTTCCAGGGGATCGGGTCTCACAAACTTCCAATTTGGAAGCAAAGATCCTTTGGAACCCGTCAAGAAGGATATTTTTTCTACGCGCGTCATATCAAGCAAAGAAGCTTATCCACGCGTCAGTCGCGGTTTCGATTGCTTGAGAGGTCTACCTACATTTTAAGTCTGCCGCGTGGACTCGCGCTCTTTCCACGCCGCGCTTTTGCATAGATAGAGCCGGCGAACCACCCGTTGAATCATGCCACGTGGTGGCACAGTGACGTGTCACATCACTACACGACAATTGGCCAATAGCGATCCTGCCACGTCATTTGAATCTTTCAAACAATGAAATTGGGTATATCTATGCCCGAAACATTAGGGCTTTTGGACAGAGATAGCGAGAAAGAATGGCGACGCTCACGCAGCAAAAGAGTTTGATCCATGGCCTCCCCGATCATCTGGTACGCGATGAAATCCTCACAAGGGCGAGCTCGTGGTGGGATTGCCGCTCCATTCGAGCGGTGAGCAAGGGCTGGAGAGGCGCATTGCAGCTGGAATCCGATTGCCCCAAGAAGATGTTCGCGGCGATCCATAGAATTCCCTCTCCGGAATCACAATCGGCGCTGGAATTCGCGGTCTCGGTGTATGATCCAGAGCTGGGGAGCTGGGAGCAATTGCCGCCAATTCCTGGTGTCCCTGGCGGCGTGCCCATGTCGGCGCGATGCATTTGCGTGGAGGGCAAGCTCTTTGTTCTCGGCGGTAGGGCTCTTCCCAGCTTGGAGTTTCTTGACAGCGTCTTCGCGATGGATTTGCGAGCGTACAAGCGGCGATGGATTCGCTGCGCTGGTATGCGCCAGGCGAGGGCTGGATTCGCGTGCCTGGCCTGGAAGGACAAGATTATCGTCGCCGGCGGCCAGGGTGGCGACGACGATCGATTGGCGCTCTCTTCCGTGGAGGCCTACTCGATCGACAGGGATTGCTGGAACGATCTGCCGGAGCTGGAGATCCCCCGGGCGGATTGCACAGGGGCGGTGATCGAGAATGGGATCATGTGCGTGGTCGGCGGGTTCACGCTCCTCCCCTGCGATCACGGGGATCAGCAGATATGGCTGAATTGCATGGAGGTTTTGGAGATTGGGAGGCGCGATTGCCGGTGGGAGACCGTGGATTCCGGCAGCAGCAACAGGGATGTGCTCCAGTCGTGCGTGATCTCCTCGGGCGTGCTCCATAGGGCTCCTCACCCGGCGGCGATGGAGAGGATGCTGGGTCGGTGTGAGCGGCGGTGGTGGACGGCTGTGAATGGGAGGATTTGCTGCCCCGCTGGGAGGCCGCCATCGTCTAGCTCGGATTGCGAGGATGAGGAGGAGGAAGGAGAGGATTTGCTGCTCATGGGGATTGGAGAGGGCAGTGACGAGTACGTGACCCGGTGCTGCCAAATCGTGGATGATCATCGCCGGACGTCGACTTCGTTGTGTCGGGCAAAGATTGCCAAGAACAAACGAATTTGGGAAGAGATTGAGATGCCGTTTGAGCTACTTCCAACGGTCTCTTGCTGTTCCATCACGCTCTAGAAGTACAGGGGAAAGAATATCCTTTACCATTTTCTAAATCTAAATCAGAGCTTTGTTAACAATGCTTGAATGCTTGATTAAAATGCTTGAATCAAAGCTGAATTTTACAACTGGTATACCATAACCTTGTCCCAAATTGCTATAAGAGCAATCAAAATGATTGTCATATTAGGCATTGATTGTCATTCAGAAACCTAGAATTGATTCAAGGAGGTAAGAGAGATATTTGTCAATGACATTGAGGACAATCTCCATCCCTGCACATAAACTGAGAAGATAAGAATAGAAAGGATATCAGCTTTGGTAATTTTAAATTTGTTTTACATAGGCAAATATTGCCATAATTTGTCTAAACTAGAAAATTTCAAAGAGCAATAATTATAAAATTTTCTTACATAAGTAAATATTTTCATAATTTATACATTTTAATGACATAAATTTTAGTTTATTACACATAAAATTTAAGAAACTAAAACAGAAATAAATAAAAATTTGTTTATACACATGATTAATTGAATTACACTAGAAAATTTAATGTTGTAGGTTATAATGCCGTATACTAATATTAGCATAATGGTAGATTGGTTTTAAGCTAGGGTTTTGGGGGTTTTGGGTATCTATATTCTATTTTAATATTCTATACACTCACATTGGTGGAAATAAGAGGTAATTTTAATTATCTCTAAGGAGTGCTAATAATTGTGATAATGCTTTCTAACAATTGCATCATCTTTATCAATGGCCATCTAAATCATTAATGCAATTTAGCATTTGTTTTTAGAGCCTCTTGCTTTGTGCGGAACTAAATATATTAGAATAGATCAAAGTTGGGAATATTATGGCTAGCATTTTGTCAAAATCTTGTAAAACTTGTGCATGCACTTGCTCTTAACACCTTTAATAATGCTTTTCACTTAGCATAATATTATGAGATATTGCCTCTTCCAATTTTCACTACATATCCTTTACCTCCACTTTTTATGGAAGATGGTCTTGTTCTAATAGAGGTTAATGCTATTTTACTCATGTTTAGGGATAAGGGTGAGGACATAGTCATGGCCATGATATCTGTTGTTGTGTATATAATGAAGTTAATCATATTTATTAATGTTGTCAGTGTTTTCTACCATTTCCTAGGTGGAAACCTTGGCATCAACATCCTATTGGTGTTATTGCAATGGAAAGTCTAGATATTAAGATTTTGAGATTAGTATTTCATGAGCATTCTTCCATTAGTCCTAATAGAGTTTATCAAACACCTAAGCCACGTACAAGTGGGATAACAATAGTGCTATAACTCCCATAATCATCCACCTATAAAGTATAAAGTGGATGATTTGGTATTAGTCTATTTTCTTAATTTTATGGTATATAGTTTGTCTAAAAAGCTCCTTGCTCAATAGAAGGGACTGTGTTGGGTGTTATGGCAAATTGAACTGCAAGTTTATGAGGTTTAAAATGGCTTTTAGCAAGCCAATCCTCCAGAAATTGTACATGAGTAGCAATTGAAATGCTTTATACAAAAGGATTAGAAACAATTGGTACCACCTATAAATCCACCAATGCCTCCTTTTAATGTTCCTCTAAATCCCGGCCTATCCACCAAAGAACCCTTACTGTTTTCCATCCTTCTGAGAGGAGGGGATGATGTGAAGTTCAAGCTGTACAACTACAATGTTGTATACTAATATTAGTATAGTGAGATTTTAATAGCCGTTAAATTAGTTTCAATCTAGATTAATTGGTCTTGTATATAAATTAAGGTTTTTGGGTATTGATATGCACATTTTTGTATTTCATTTCCATATTCCATACATTCACAATGTTAGCTTGAAACACTCTTTTATTAAAACCCTTATTTAGCTTAGAGGCAAGAGACTTGAACACTTTAAATAACTTTGCAGGACATTTTATACACCAATGCTTAAAAATATTTTATATTGTTTAGAGTAAACTAATCAAAAAATATTTAAATACTTTCATTCATTTACTAGGATTTTTATTATATTTTTTTGCTATAAACAACAACACTGCTACTTATAATTATTGTAGCGTATGTGATCATGGGATGAGATTTGGATATACTGTCACCGTGAATCTTTGGAACCTTGGGGGATAAATGGGGATAAAATAACTACTAAAGGCTCTTTTATCAAGCAATTGCCCCTTTTTTAGTTGGCTTAAAGGGAGAGAGATAAGGTGTGCTACAGTTGGTATCGGAGCAAATGGCACAGGTTCACATCCCAGACAAAGGTATCCATCATGGGACTGCGGTACGAGTGAATGACTAGTTGCCTCACATGGAATAGCTAGTTTACACAATGGAAGGATTGGTATATTCAGTGCGGAAATGGAGGTGTTGATTCCCCTTGGCTTAATAGGGGTTGTTAGTCAATAGTCAATGGAGACATTGACATTTCTGAAGGAGTGGTGAGTGTAGCGCATGTGATTATGGGATGAGATTTGGATATAAAAGGTTGTTAGTCAATAGTCAATTAGAAGGATTGGTAGATTCAGTGCGGAAATGGAGGTGTTAATTCCTCTTGGCTCAATAGGGGTTGCTAGTCAATACTCAATGAGGACATTGACATCTTTGAAATGGGGTGAATTTAGCGCATGTGATCATGGGATGAGATTTGGATATACTGTCACTGCAGATCCTTTGTATGTCCTTCTTCTTGTGGAGCATCCCAAACGAAAGTATCTACCGTAGGACTGTGGTACGGATTGATGACTAGTTGCCTCACATGGAATAGCAAATTTCTAAATTAACTTCTAAAGCCACAATAAAAGTAAAGTTTTAAAAACTTTAGGATTTATAACTTAACTTTTTGAGCCTTACAAACCTCGTCAAGAAAAAGTAAATCTTATGGACATTTAACATCAAGTATAATAACTGTCGACAACATGAAATCCTTGTCTAAAAAATTAATAAATGCTAGAACAATAGACTCATTAAAAACATTAGAAGAGTGTGAAGAAGAAAAAGAACCTCGAGAAAGGGTGTTAACATCAGTCATAAAATTCCTAAAGTGATAAAACATCAAAATCATATATCTAAAGCTTTAAAGCCCACTAAACGGTACGATTAACCAAATTTTTTATCTCAATAACAAAGTAACTACAATATGATCAGTTTTTAATAATGTTTGAAAATTATATAAATATGTATGAAGTTTTTCAAAACCCCAAACTCTTGCTAAACACTCATTCTCTGTTATGAAGTAGTTCACCTCCGCTAGTTGTAATATACAGTTAATATATACAACAGAATAATATTAACCAAGCACACATGGGCTCTTTTGCATCAACACAACTCTAAAACCAATATCAAAAACATTTATGTGCAAAATAAAAAGTCAAATATACCAAAACTTGAAGAGTTATTAATATCTCGTTGAGATCCATAAACACCCACTCATAGTTTACAAATGTCGCGAATGTGACTTCGGGTATCGAAAGTTACCTGTCGGCTAGTCCTTACGGACACTCTTACCTTACTGCCACGATGGCAGGAGGTCGGTATTGTTGGGCCCGTTATTAGTCTCCACCTAAGCTAGTTGAGAAACTGGTCTTCGCGTGTGCACTTGACCAGATGGGCATAAGGACGGAATTCCTACGTGCTATTTGTCAAGCATATTTGACCTGGTTAGAGAAACTCATTCGTTGACTTTCACTTGCTAGTGTTGGGAACCCCCGTGATATTGAGATTGGTCCCTCAATATTGTTAAATGATAGCTTACCATGTCTGCCAAACACCCTCGCTATCATGCCCTTTGTGTTAGTCTCATTTTGGTCCTAAATGCTATTTATGGAAAGTATCCAGATTTGCTCATTTGGCATATTTGCGGAATGTAGAGATCGGCCTGAACACAATGGTGTTCGTCCCATATCCAAATTCGCAATCTAGGGATATTCCATATTTAATAAGTTTCGAGCTTGTCCCAGAGACTAACTCCTGATACTAAGGGAGGCTTGGGGTGAAAGCCCAAAGCGTGTGTTCCTCAAGGGGGGGGGGGGCTGTGGGGGGTTCCAAATGTATAGTAGGGATAGTGGGTAGGTTGGGCATGGCCGACCAACCAGAGGTATAGTCTAGCTCCCGCTTGCGTGCCTGTCCTTGTTCTGCGTCCGGCTTGGGTCTAAGCCCAAGTTCCATTCCATGCTAGCTAGTGGAGTACCCATATCCTCGCGTTAGGCCACCGGTATGCCGAAATAGCACCAGACTCTGTTTGGCTCCGTTTTGCGTGCTGGTCCTGGCATTGGGATGTTGGTTGCTCCAGGACTGTTCCAAGTCGCTCCGGGCTCCTGTCCCTTCGCTCCTTGGGCTTTATGCTCGGGAGTTGCTCCGTGGTTTGGTTCTGTCACTCCTCGGCTCCATGCTTGGGAGTTTGGCACCGTTCCTTCGTTCAGTGGCCCAAGGCCCTGGACACGTGGACACGTGGCATGGACACGTGGCATGTGACACATGGCATCTGTCACGTGGCACAAAGAGGGTTTAGGCTCCGCTTCGTGGTGTTATCCTATGGTAAATCACCTTAGGATAAAGGGTCAAAACCACGTGTGCTAAAACAAACCAAATGAAAAACAACGCTCGAAATGGTGTAGTGTGATCAAAAAGATAATTAGCAAAATGACCCAGATACTACACATTGCCCAAAAAACATTACACATCATTCACACACTTGAGTGTAAAATTCATCAAATAATATTTAAATATTTTTATTTATTGCCTAATATTTGTGTTTTTTTTTGTTTGTGAATTACCTTTGTAAGAAATATAAACAACACATATAATTATATATAAGATACAAAAAATAATTGATCTTATTTATGTATCATTATAATGTATTTAATTTATTAAAGAACACACCATCTCATTATTGAGAGAAAATAAGACAATAAAATCACTAAAAAATGTTAAAGACAAATAAAAACGATGCATTTATGTTGAAATTTCTAAAAATATAGTTATAAAACCTTTACTTTTACAATGTTTACTAAAGCTAATCTAGTCAAACTTCAATCTAATCCAAACATCTATATAAGTATAGAATCTTAAATTCCAATATATGTGTATGATATGTCTTGAGTTCAATTGTTGTAAACAAAAGTTCTAGGTTTGTGGACATTAACAGTGAAATATACTTTAGTAAAAACAAAGAGATGGGTAGATAAGTGACATATGAAGATTAAAGAATATAATAATATAAAAGATATACTACCATGAAGAGTATTTAAATTATTACTATAATATACATTTCTACTAAATAAATTGTATAAACATAAATATAAGCCCAATAAAAATCATTTTCTCTTTCTTTTATGTTTATTAAGCATTTAAATTTTCTAAGTTAAACTACCAATTATAAGATCTTACTGGAATTGACCATTTGTTAGTTCGATAGCTTAAATGTGTTTGAAATATTGCATACCCAAAAATATACCATTCAATCCTATAATTTCTCCATCCATAATCTTTGTCTTTAAATCTAAATGAAACAAATTTTTTTTCCAATTTCATACCCATTTTTTATTTTGGCATCACACCAAAAAAGTGTTGTTCCTATCCAATTCACATCAAATTTAAAGAAAAAAGATTGCCTATTTTTAATATTCTTAATTCCCATATCATCATCTCTTGATTGGCAATGTAATTCTAGATCAAAACCTACCCAATTATAAATAAATATTCTGTAAGCTTCAGATAAGCATAAAGATGAAATAACAGATAAAATAAACAAGTGTGAAGCAAACGATGCCATAAAATTTACTAGCAACTGTATCATACTCCCTTATTTAAACGTGCTATTGGCATATGGCATCCGGCGTCTTTTATTCCATTTTTAGAATATTATTTCTGAATATGCTTATAATCTAACGGTTCAAATTCAAAAACTTCAAATAGATGGCATAGATCAAGTGCCAAAGGGGTGGCAACTCTTCAATTTTTTAATGACGATCCAAATCAACAGAAAAAATTTAGGGCGATTGGGCAGATTGTGAGCTCTCTCTCTCTCTCTCTCTCTCTCTCTCTCTCTCTCTCTCTCTCTCTCTCTCTCTCTCTCTCTCTCTCTCTCTCTCTCTCTCTCTCTCTCTCTCTCTCTCTCTCTCTCTCTCTCTCTCTCTCTCTCTCTCTCTCTCTCTCTCTCTCTCTCTCTCTGTGTCTGTGTGCTGAAATTTTCTATTTGCTGCGTTTGATCGAACTGGCTGGGGACTGACAAGCCGGCCGTGCAAAAAAAGTGGCTGTGACAAAGATGGTCTTCCCAATCCTACGAGCACCAGTCCCAAGTGAGTGTTCTATTCATTGTCGTTTAGAAAAAAATAAAAAAGAAATTTTTTTCTGCTGTTCTTGCTTGTTTGATTTCTCTGATTAGAGCTCGCAGGTGGATTTGCTGCTGAGCTTTTATCAGCAACTAAAATTCTCATCGGTCGTGCTCGTTGGTCATGATGACAGTGGATTGCTTGCTCTTATGGCAGCTGCCAATATCTTGACAACTCTAAGCTCAACGCAGGTAAGCTCCAAGCCACTATAGTTGGATCATCTCATGGATTTTCATTTCTGCGGTGAAGGTGGTGATCAAAGGTGTGGTTTAGATCGCAGTGAGCTCCTCCAAATATCGCCATTTGTTCGAGTTTTGCTCCACACTTCTTTGGGACGGCACATACTCCGGCCATTGCTGTGCCCGGAGATGATGCTTCGGAGCTCACCTCCAAAGTGATGGAACTTTACAAGGTATGAGGAAAAATTCGAACTTGATCAAAAGAAATCCATGATTTTCCGTGTATACATAAGTGTCTTTTCTATCTTGTTGTGATGTCTAGGCCATTTTCTTCTCACAAACTTGCTACTGGACAAAATGAAGGAGACCGCTAAGGAAAGTGTTTGTCAATCTCTCCTCCGTCGTGCATATCGCCTCTTACAGCGGTGGAATCCAGTTCTCACACCTTAATGACAAAACCTGGTACGCCAAACAACTCTCTTTTCTCGTGAGCTTACATTCTTCCTTTTTTCTTCCAAAAGGTACTCCGACACTAGAGCATACAGTCAATCCAAGCTTGCGAACTTTTTCCACGCCAAAGAACTGGCAATAAGATTCAAGGTATTCGTCTAATGCTTTGAAATCTCTCCCACCTTTCTCTTTCGCCAATGCTTTTTCTTTCGCTGATTAGGCCGAAGGAGTTGACATCACAGCCAACACTGTTCATCCAGGGTTTATAATGACACCTTTGATGGCAATGAGATTCAAGGTATTCGTCTAATGCTTTGAAATCTCTCCCACCTTTCTCTTTCATCAATGCTTTCTCTTTCGCTGATTAGGCTGAAGGAGTTGACATCACAGCCAATGCTGTTCATCTAGGGTTTATAATGACACCTTTGATGCGGTACAAGAACATTGAAGAGTAAATATGATAAAAGGTGGGCTTAATTTAGCAACTTATGAGAACTGTTTAAGTTCTTTGCTTTGTTGTTCTAGGTAGAGATGGCTAGGGCTAAGCGGACGATCAGGAGGACTCCACCACAGTACCGTTTTTTTTAACAAACAAATCACAAATGTTCGGGTTCGCTCAATTTAAGAAGCTGGAGGTGAAAACCACAAGCTCTCAACACTGCCATTAGGTACTTGTTGACCTGAATGTAGACCTGAAGCCCCGCCTGGGACAAGCTCTGTAATGAGTGGAAAGTAAGCTCAATACGTTGTAGCAGCAGCTCTCATATACCAGCCAGCTGTAGCACACATGCAGCCAATAGCAAGCACGCCAAACAACTCCATGAAAATGATCTCTTTGATCCAATCAGGTGACCACCAACAAGGGAAAGAGAAACTGCAAAACAAAGAAAAGGAGATAGGCAATAAAAACACACAGCAGACAGACACACCTTCATTCAGGTACTATACTTTCCCTTTCCCTTTTTCACTATGCTGTTGCAAAATTGAGATAACAAGAGCTCAGCTCAATCACTAAGAGCTTAACTGATGGATGAAAGCTGACTCACCCTTGTTTTACCTGACAGGTACACTGTAGTGCCATTTTTGTTTTGTTGTGTGGATCAACTGCTAAGACCTTCTTAAGGGGGCAGAGGATGATTATTCAGTGAGCGTGAGACAGATGAGCAAGAAAAACGCAAGCGCCTTCACAAGCATTGGATCCAAGAGCAGACACACCAAAAAAAATATTCTCTGGCATTTACATTATCTGGAGATGAGGTCAGACACACACCTACAGCTTACCTCCTGCATTTGCAAAAGCCCCATTGGAAATGGCAACAAGAAATGTGTCAAATAGCACAAGAGAACTATACAGCTAACTTCCAAAACACTCATTCATTCATATGTAGGCCTTTGATTTTCAGGTAAATCGGAAATAGATGTTTTGAAAAATGAGAGATGAAAACAAGAATAGAAAGAAAGAAAGAAACAAACAAACAAACAAACCAAGTTTTGAAAAGCTGTGTCTTTAAAGCTTCCACTCCTTTTAAAGAAATACACACTCAAATATATCAAAACATTCTCCCAATTTTACAAAACACTTCAAAAACTTAACTGCCACCTTTTGCAAGCATTATATATGAGAAAAGATCCTTGTTACAACCACCAAACTCCTGTGCCGTCTGCAAGGCAGTGCTTAGATCCCAGTACATTCGACAAGCTCCCAGCAGACTCTCTCACTCCTCTTGCCCAGCATCCCCTTGGAATCCTTCAGCTTCCCGGCCCTTGCAAACACATCCTGCTGAAGCTATCTGCAGTGAGATTCAAGCCATGGTTGCAGACTCCAAGTACTGCCACACGTTCAAGCGATCTCCTCCTATTTCAAGGCCATGGCATGGAAGAGCCATGGCAACGTTGCCTACATTGCACATGACTAAAACTTTGGTTTCAAGCATGTCGTCCATCACGTACTTGACACCCTCTCGTTGGATTCCAGAGTCTTTGATCCCACCGTATGGCTGGCTATCAACACACATGCTTGGCAAATCGTTGAGGCAAACTCCTCCAGCCTGTGAGGATCAAATAATCATCAAACAATCGATCAATACTTTCTATATCTCAAACGTAAAGCTACCTCTATGTGCTCAAACGCATAGAAGGCCTTGTTTAGATCATGCATAAAGACGCTGGCCTGGAGACCGTAATGCGTATTGTTAGCTTCGTTCACGGCTTCCTTGAAATCACTGCGTCACCACCGTTTTAGTTTAGAGAAAAAAAAGGAAGTAAAGAAGAACTTTAGGGGCTAAGAAACTTTGAGAGCTTACTTGTATGAGTAGAGAAGGATCACTGGACTGAAAATCTCTTCCTTCTTTGCATCTGTGTCAAAGGGAGCGTCTTCCAGGATCATTGGCTCCATGAAAGCTCCCCTTCGCTTACCACCAACTAAAAGTTTGGTGCCTGCCTTCACTGTCTCGTTCACACTCTTCTCCACTGTAGCTGCCGATGACTTGGGCCAGATGGACATGTCGTCTTGGCGAGGATCTCCACCTTTGAGTTTCTTAATGGCAGCAATCAATGTACACAACCAGCACCAAATACGTTAGATCAAAGCTCGATTTGAGAACAAAGAATACGATAGAATTTAAAGATGAGTGTTGGATACCTCACCTTTCACGTAAAGACGCTGCATGTGAATGCACGACTGGCCGCTTTGATAGAATCCTTTGTGGACCAACTTAGCGATTGTACCTTCCAAGTCTGGAACAAGATCTTCCACCATGCATGGAGCATTGCCTCCCAGCTCCATAACCACCTGTAAGAGGAATCAAAGAAGTTGAAGAAAGCGAAGCTCCATCCGAAGGAAGATATAATAAAATATCATTATTTTTTAGAATCTTTATAAGTAAGAAAAAATTTCTAAATCAATTTTAGTCTTCAACAATAGCATTTTCTACAACATCCATCTTACAACTGATATAAATCCCAGCTGAAAATATGTTTCTTTTTCAATAATTTTTATTAAAAATAGTTTTATATTTTATGTAGATAATGGTATTCTATAGTATTTAAAAAGCCAAAAACTTCTTAAGTTAGAAGGAAGCAGTGGTTCTTGCAATATAAAATATATTTTAATTATTCATATATATATATATATATATAAGTATTGACAACGAGCCATTCTATATAGAACTAGCCTTAATCATCAGAACTGCTCACAAGAAACGAGAGTTGTTTGGTGTACCAGGCTTTGTCATTAAGGTGTGAGAACTGGATTCCACCACTGTAAGAGGCGATATGCATGATGGAGGAGAGATTGACAAACACTGTCCTTGGTCTCCTTCATTTTGTCCATGAGCAAGTTTGTGAGAAGAAAAT